ATCTGCAGGAGGAACTACCCAGTCAACAGATCAAGGATCCTCTCCCCAGGCCCTACGAGAACATGAAACACTTCGGCCACTCTGCAGGAACCGTACACCACCCCGCCTCCTGGCCTCTGTTCAGATCATTCCGCGACGGCCAGTCTGCGGGGTTTGCGTCCGTCGAGACTCGATCGATAAAAATCCTACAGCGGAGCCGCAGTGCACGTTCCCAAAATATAGATATGATCTCACAGACGTCTGATCTGCTCGAATAGCCCTTGATCAGGGCTGCTTCAACAGCTTCAGAGTCGATCAACAAAATAACATCCGCGTTTACGAGGCGATCGGCAAACGTTTCCAGTGCGAGCACTGGTGCCATCATCTCGATCGGGATGATTTGGGTTGATCTGTGGAGCCACTTTCTTGAAATACTCCAGGGAATCACTTCGGAGAACTGGCGGGGTTTGGTCAGTCTGCGATCGAACAGCACCGCCCCGACTCGGTCAGGGAGGCGAGTGGCGAGAACCTCACGAGGATCAGGGGTGAAACCATCAGTAAAAATTACGACATCTGCACGCTTCGAAATTTGTCGATCGATCGTCCTGGGGGGGCCGGCTTCGATCAAAACAAGCCACTGTTTGAGAGCCTCCCTTAAAGGTGGATCAAGACCGAATTTCGGACCGAGCGGCAGACGCATATACTGACGTTCCGAGATCACTCTTAAAAAGGCCCTACCTACTTTGCCCCAGAGCTGGGAGGCCCCGAACATAAGCTTTCCTTTGAGCTTCCCAGCCGTCCCCGGGTCTAACACGTCTGAGCTTAAAATGCCCTGGATCTCTGCGGTCAAATCACTCCGCCGATCGGGCTTAATTTCGAGCTGCATTTCACTCAGGTTGTAGGTCACCCCCAGGATCGTCGGGGACGAGGACAGCTGCAATTTCTTCTGGTCAAAATGAGCTCCGAGCCAGGTGTGAACACATTCGGCTGCCAAGCGAGCACTCTTCACTGAGCCGAGCGGTTCAAACCCATACTTGTCGTCGTAAAAACTAAAGGCTACGAGCTTAAACAGTTTAACCAGAAATTCGTTGATAGCAGCCGACCGTCGATTGTAGTTATAGACCGCCGACACTAACCCGAACGAGTGACCGATCATGACGAAAAACGCAGGCTGATCAGTTTCAGGGTTCTTCAAACAAATCACTGAAAACTTTCTCTGATCAGGGCGAATGGCGACTTGACGATACGCCTTCCTCTCGTCCAAGACCCAACCGCCAAGCTCATCCTCTGGCAACTCCGAGCGGAGCCTCCTCAAGGCCGCCACGTTGGTGTCAGTGGAGGGGAGCTGCAGTTTCTCTGAGATCTCAGTGATTTGATTGATCAAATTTGTCGTGGCACTGTCACAACCTCTGACCTTGTTCTTCTGCACCACCTCAAACCTTTGTGTAGGGATCCAGTCATCACACTGCAGGAAGGAGGAGATCTCCTCTTCGGAAGCCCAGGGTCCTACACATGACCCTTCTTGGCAGTCTTCCAGAGTGGCCTCCCAGATCTTCTTGAGATTGTCAGTGACTGGGACCCCGTGAACACGAGACACAATTTTCTTGCGCAACTCCCAGGCCCGACCCAAAGCAACGTCCACTGGGACCACCTTCTGTGGCTTATCGTAAGGTGGCCACCGAGTTGAACAAGCAATGGGCCCCACGATGTTGAAGGGTGCGATCGCACGAATTGCAGGCTTGGAGCATGGCTTCGTATAGAGCTACATGGCAGACTTGTCCCAACACTGGTGTCTGATCATCACCACACCCTTTGAGCAGTCGACGTAGGTAGGGATCAGGCTGGGCGTTGATCAGCCGGAGCGACGCCGGCAACAGACGGTGAGCTTCAGCTTCCCAGAACTGCAGAGCTTGAAGACGTAGGTGAACAACCTCCGACACGTTCGAAACCAAGCTGTCAATGCT